TTTTTTTTTTTTTTATATAAGTATTAATTGTTTTTTCGTAATAATCGTCGGTTACTTGGAATTTATTTATAAAAAATCCCGACCTAGCGGGACAGTAAAATTTGCTCCTTTTTAATAAATAAAAAATCAACCAACTATTATATAATAATTATCTTTGTATAAAAAGATGCGCCGTACTAAGTTTGATGTTAATCAATTAATTGAATTTTAATTACAAGTTGTTATTCCTTTATTGTGTTGAGTTAAAGTAATAAAAATAGTACTTTTGATATATACTTTTCGATTTTGATAATGCGTATATATCAGAATTGCTGCGTATATATTAGAATTAGCGAAGAACACGAAAATCGGACTTTTATTTAAATCTATTAAAGAAATACGTGCATTACTACTAACTTTAATTTAATAATTAATACTTTTAATAATATAATATATTAAATCATTTATTTTCGATCTATATAACGTTTTTTTGAATTAAGGTTGTAGTTATTAAAATATTTGTAATAAACAAGTAAATTGTATAAATTAAATCTAAGGTAACCGACGATTATTAAAGCGGGATAGTAAAATTTGCTTCTTTTTAATAAATAGAAAATCAATTAATTAATATATCGTAATTATTTTTGTATAAAAAGATGCACCTTACTAAGTTTAATATTAATCAATTAATCGAAATTTAATTTCAATTTTTTATTCTTTTATTATGTTGAATTAAAGGGGGGTGGAGGGCGAGGGAATAGCTTGCAACTTGAGCTTGCAACTTAGGAGTTAGAGCTTTTTGCTGCAACTTCGATTTGTATGGTGCAACTGCAATTGCAAGGTTAGATGCACACTTTGCAAGATTTACGTGCACGAGCCATACAGATTGCTCAATTCTTGCATCTTGACGTGCAACTTGGAGATGCAAGAATATTTTGGTGGTGCAACTTGGCTTGCATCTGCGAGCCATACACACCCTAAACCTTCTTCTTTTCCCAGTAGAAGAAGACCACAAATGGCTGGCGTCGGGCAGGCTTCCATGCTCATGTATGTAGCGTGATAGCCGTCATGTTTCGATCTCTTACTTGATCAGAAAGCTTTCCCCCTGATGAAAATAGCGTTTCTGGTTAAGTACAATATGTGCATTTCTTTTCTCGCGTTGTTCATACCGTCGAGGGCACGCCGTCGAGGGTGGGAGGTCGATGTTCTGGGGACACGGGCAGGCTCGGGATAATATTTAAGCGAGGGGTCTGCCGGGCTGTTCACTCATCTTTTGCTTCCGGGAGAGGTAGCTCAAGGATCAATGGCCTGGACTAGATGCCTTTATGTCAACAGTTTGAAGAAGGATAGAGCTCGAGCATTCATGGTGGTATATTTCCTCCTCGAGGTCAGGGTAATAGAAATGAGATCGCTTACTGCATATACATACATCTTTCTCCGCTCTGCGCATGAGCTCGGTCCAACCGGTGAAGTGCAGGACTTCAACACCTCCTTCATCTACCCCAACTTATCTAGCAGCCTGCGTCGTCTCCTCTCAACCAGCTCCTCTTGCACCTCAGTCGCGCTAGGCAATTTCCAGCCCTCCCCATCCCCAGCATCTCCTGGTAACGGCTCCCATCCCTTGGGCGCCTTACCGTCGTCTGCCGCTAGCAGGTTCTTGAACGCTTCCTGCTCCTTCTTCGTCTCGTACTCTAGTAACGTGCCGTCCTCTTCGTCGAGGTTGTACCCGTAGTACGAAGCGTCTACATTTTTGCGTAAATCTGTCGCGGGCTTCTTCTTGTCCGTCTGGTGGGGTTTGGTGGCGGATTCAAATAGTTCTTTCACGCCAGGGAGTTCTTTGGCCCGGCCGAAATACCTAGACGGAGTTGTCAGATGTCAGCCCAGGTACCTTTACCAATCCATTGACTAGTTGGTTTGTGAAACGGAAGTGTGTAGGTAGTAGAAGAAGGAACAAGAAAGACTGACCTATACCCTTTCCCACCTCCTGGGATCTCCCTACCCTCCTCATCATACACGGCCCCTCCCCCCCTCATGTAATTGGGGCCGCCGAGATTCCGGACCTGCACCTCCCACATGTGCTTCTCGCGCATCAGCTTGTTAATCTCGTCGTTCAGGTCGCGGATCATGAAGTCACTCAGGCTCGGGTCCTGGATCTTGGAGACCTTGCGCGAGATTTCCTTCAGGACCTGGCCGCGCCACTTTTCGCACGCGGGGATAGCCGTCACCTCCGTGATCATCTTAGGACGGCGGGTGCGACCGACGTCGAGAATCCCTAGGTCGGCGGCTTGGGATTCGCGGAAGCGGAAGAGCATCGATTGCGCTTTTTCGGAGTTACGCGCCTAGAGGGAGGACGTCAGTATGGCAGTTTGTGTTTATTCGGAGCGAGATGGGTAGGGGAAAATACCATGATTACGGTGATGCTCCGTAGAGAATTCAAGGAGGATGTGGTGGATGAGTATCTAGTGGAGAAGGGAGGAGTGAAATTGAGTTGAATTGAGTGAAGCTCCAGCTATCCAGACTCTCGGATTCCCCACATCTGAAATGAGGCTGAGAATTAATCCGCGCTAGCAGCTTTCTTGGGCAAGCTTCAAAAGCGGCCGCTAGCCCCTCCACTGGCCGCGTCAGGTCCACAAAAACGCCATCGCGTCTCGCTCGTTTCTTTCCTTCTTCCATTCTTTCCATCACGACAAAACAGCAGTGACGATAAACCCATCAAGAGCTTAATCCCACGATTCAGCCTCCGAGTATTGCCCATGCGGCTCCTATGGTTGAACATGCGTGCCCTTTGAACAGAGATCTGAGCTGTTGCGTCTTGTTACTCTTCTTACGGTGCCTCCATCATTATCTCCATGTTTGTTTTGTCTGGGGATGGCGGATAGGGGCTTGATCAAGGGGGGATGATGCTGCAAGGACGACAATCAGCTCCTGCTCGAGACGCCTGAAGCTGCGGGCTGCGAACTCCAGATCCTGGGACCGAGGCCTGCAATGGGGGTAGCGGGACGAGGTTCTAGGGATGGAGGGAGTGCGATGTGGTGAGGGGTGTTGGTGAGAGTGGAAATATAGTTTTCAATCGGAGCGGTTGGTTCGTGTATCCTTCCCCCTTTCCCTCCCTGTCACTCGCGTCTTCTTCTGTTACCGCGTCCAATGCTCATACCAAGCTCGCAGATTCCCTCTCTTTCTTCAAACCTGCCTCTCTGGACGCACTCACAGGTGATAGTGGTGGTGGTTCGGAATACTTCCTTTTCGTCAGTTTTCATATACACAAACAACGCCCTGTGATGACCAAAATAATGTCAAAAGCCAAAATTGCAGGCCAACCTACCACCCTTGTCACTGCCGAGCTGCTCCTTTCTGGCTATCCGGGCTGGGGAGGCAAGGCTGTGATGGGGGTGGGCAAGTGTTCGCGATGAGAACTTGAGAGCTAATCTGAGGGCATATCGTTGTTACCATCTCGATTCCTTCCGTTTTCCATTCTGTTTGCGAGCGAGCGATGCACGATTTATTTTCATGGGGTTTTTTGCTTCCGTGATTATTTTTCTCTCTTGGCCGTTTGGTAGAAAGGCGAATGAGGTCCCATAGAGCAGCAGGGCAGTGCTGTGAAGGGATGTGAGAGGATGGAGGCTGGTGCTGTTGCTGGGCGTGATGTTGAGCGGGAATAAGACTTTGCCATGGCCAAACATTGCACTTCGAATTAGTCTGTTAAGAAAATCGAAGACAAGTGTCGCCAGTTTTATAGGAAACGACCCGACTGACCGGTATCTTGAGACATCTGAATGATTCCATTCCTGTGACATTCAGTAGGTGTCAGTATATCGAGGTCTGACAGGTCACTTCTATCCAGAATATGCTCCAAGATTCGTAAATCAACCCTTTTCCTTGCAAGATCATCTATTCCATGATCGATATTCTGGTCCATCCCCTACAAGAATGACATGACTCTCTGCTCTGGCACAAGCCAGCAGTTGATACCAACCCGGCCTTCCTCGCCGTAGAGATGCTGGGATTGATTACTTTGCTGGCGTGATGTTTCCTGATGTTGATATATGCCTGCTGCTTGATTATCTACTTGGGAGAATGAGCATTCTTCTGCTAGTGGTGTGCTGAAATTCAGGAGTCATCTTCAAAATCAACTCGAAGTTGTTGCTCTGTAGCTTTAAGAACTAAATTTAGATCACTATGTGTCTCCTGCCTCTATGCTACTGCCTCGTTCCCAAGCGTGTAAATATATACTCCAGTAAGACCAAAGTTAGTTCATCTGAAGCACACATTCAAATTACATGCATATCTTTGCCTCAATTTCGGAATGATCTAGTCTTGGGTTCTATATTCAGTTAGCTGCGGCTTGCCAGTTCGGTGAGGACATTAAGGTAAGCCTATCCTGCTTCAGCTACCCGGCAACAACAACATCACTATAATCCTTTAACCTCTTTTTCTTCCATTTTCCAAGAATATTGGGGGAAATTGAAAGGCTTCCCCCCTCCTGTATTTTCAATTCTCTCGGATGGTGCTTCTATGCAGATTTCGTCGCAGCCTTACAATTCAGAATTAACATTTAGCTACAATCACTGACAGCTCCAGATCCCAATCTTCATTTTTAGAACTTTGAGCAGATCTGCCAGTTCATTCCAGATATTGAAGTCTCTTAGCCCACTTCTACATTCTGAACTCCGAGCTTCGGTAATTGTACCTTTACCGAGTTCAAGAATTAATCACTTACATGCTTCCAGGCAATCCTCTTCGAAACATCGTAGCCGGATATGAACAGCTGGAATATTTCCAGCTGAAAATTCAGGACCATGGAGTGCAGAGACCGAAGTCCTGTTGCCGAGCAAGAACTTCACTTGTCATCGCCAAAATCTTACTATGCCGCAACACCCAGACACATAATCGAAGGACAAGCTGCTGATGGTCACAACTGGGTACAAGAGCCTGATCTTCCGCAGCCAGCAGATGTCGATTATACGTACAGCGCCTCATCACCTACTCGGGAGCCAAAGTCCCCCGTTTTCAACACCGGAAACCCAGAATCCTCACCTTCGGACGAAGGTATCCCCCAGCCCCAACACCATCGGCAGCTCCAATCCAAGCCGTACGACCAAAATTTACCCTTACTTCAGGGATGGCGATATTTTAATCGTCAGTCCAACCAGCAAACACTGGAAGCTTCACAGCATCATCCTCTCCAAAGCTTCCACCAAACTGGCCGAGCTCTTTAAAAGGTACGCACCTCTCAAAATCACCAAGTCAGATGCCAAAAATGGTATTGGATACAAGTATAAGATCGAGCTGGCCCCAGAGACAAAGGCTCGGAATTTAGACCCACAAGGTCTCAAGTTCTTGTCATTTCACAGAATTGTAGGTCATGCACATATCCATCAAATCGTGCTGAAGTATACTGACAATTCATTAGAATACCGCCAAGTATAAGCAACCGCTCTTTATGCGAAACTACAACGGTCTACGAGATAAGGTTGAGTTCAACCGGCTCTACGACAATCTCTTCCGATGCATTTAAAACTTGAACCCAAGTTTCTGCAAAGAGGATGACCGTCTTCCTCGTGCGTTGATCATGGATGCTACAATGTTGCTCCAGGCTGCCACGTATTTGGATGCGATCGCCTGTGTTCGTTTGGTTGTTGAGGCCAACTTGCTCCCTGAGGGGTCGTGTCAATGAGCAATTCTTGCACAACAAAGAGCATGGCGAAATGAAAGACACGATTTGGAATCTCGTCGTGAGGAAGGCCCGAGAGTTGAAGGATAAGAAGCTTCGCATTGAGCGTTTACTTCTCAAATTCTACCCCGTCAAAATGATCCATCGCGAAGGCTTGGAGAGCATTCCCCCGTGCGATGTATGGAGCCGAGATCTACCTATGGCAAGCCATTGTCATCTTGCGCCAATTCATCTCATCCGCATACCTGAGCAACTACCATCACAGGGTCAGTGATGCCGGTCTCTCCTTCTACCGTACCATCGGCCAAGGCGATACCACCTACCTCCGATCCGACACCCTGGACAAGTTCCACCATAATTTCAGCATGAGTCCCAAGGGTCGTCAGATTCTTGCTGTAGCCGTCGAGCAGATCAAGAAAGAAGCCAGGCCCATTGTTTCTGAGTTTCTCCGCGACCCTTCTCAACTGATCCGGCTCCCCACCGATCCTGAGCTCGACTATCTCACCTGCATCGAGCTTCTTGACGAGGCGTTGCCTTGGTATCTTAAGCCCGAGCTAGAGCCATATTTCGATCAAAACGATGGTGATTATGGAATGGATGGGATGGTCAACGCAGTTGACAATTAGCCCATTTGCGTTGTCGCTCTGGGTCGACTTTTCGAGTTTCGCTGCGAGCTCCCTCACTCGAGTTTTCTACGACTTCATACTGCTTTCATCTGATGATCTCGGATCCATTACGAGTTCGTTCAGCAGGGCATGCTCTCGGTTCCTTCTGGGCTTTTCTCTCTCGTGGATGGATACGTATACGACAGATCAGCTTTGGGTTGGCCAATTCCATACTTTCTTTATAAATGGGAGTCGAAGGACCTCAACTCCAGAATTACGTTTTGCGGATACCTATAATGAGTAGAACTGTTTGTCTTTCAACTGTGCTCTTTTTGTATGTATTTGATTACTTGTATGTCTTTTCATATATTGTAGTTTCTAAGTACTTAGCCAGGCAGCTATTTCATATATTCGTTGAACCCCTGTTTCTATATCTATGCAGATGGATTAACGCCTAGTGAAAAGTGCCTTGTTTTTCCTCAGTATTTATCAGAAATTCGGTTTATCGCTAGAAGAACTTTCACTATGTAAGCCACGGCTATGGTTATCATGGCTACAGCTTTATTCTATCGATGTGATGAGGAGGTGCTTGATTCTTCCACGAAGTTATTACAAACATATTCAAGACAGTGCCAAACCACGGCCACGAGCGTCTTTCTTTGTCAGCTCCTAGGTACGTTTAGCTGATTAGGATAGACAGATTTGGATGTGTTTATTTATACGGACACCTGTTTTGCGTGCTAGTAAACTGAATATTGCCCGGGAAATACGAAGTACAGGTTCTCTCTTGCGGCTTACTTAACATCAATCCAACGCGTCCTAACGCGTAGAATCCGTAGATTATAATTGTAAGAGCAATTTATATGAACCTTTCGTTCTGCATGTCGACCTTGCGTGCATCTTCAAACGTGCTGATGGCATTCTTGATTCCCTCGGCACCGAGCATCAAGGTACCGGCAGGCAGTCTACTTTTAGATGCCGTCTTCAACTCGGTAACACTCTCTGACTCTTCTCGCAAACCTGGAAGACTCGGGAGAGATGACCAATAGCGAAGATTTTGTTCTTGATAGCTCGTCTCTTGTACTCGATCGAATCGAAGTCCAGGTTGTAAATGGGCGGCGATACCGGGCCTAAGGAGACTATAGATAGTGTGGCGTCATCCTTAAACTCGTCCTCGAAGCAGATGCTCAAGATGATAATCAATATGTCCGTGATCTTCTCTCCGACGAACGGCAAAGACTACGTGAACACGTTCATAAAGTTGGAATCGTTTTAATCGACTAAATCGTTTGTAAAAGCTCGCCTTTTCCTCAAAAGACCGTCCGGGGACTTTTTTAAGACCGCTTTACAGCCGTCCTATAGCCGTCCTATGGCCGTCCTATGGCCGTCCCCAAACTTGAAACCATCTTCGAAGACTTAGATTGGTAAAGCAAATAAGTAGTAGAATATATGCTCTTTAGCTCCCTTTCTTTCCTTCCTTTCCTTCCTTTCCCCCTTCTCCCTTCTCCCTTACCCTCTTTTCTCGCTACCCTTACTTCACGATGATTGTTTTAGTGGTTATCATCAAAGCTAATAAACTTCCATGGAGTTTGGATGGCCGAATTTTTTTATTCGTATCTCTGTATTAGTATTTTGATTAGATACGAAGGTTCTTGGACTGTGCACACGCGTCAAAAACTATATAAGCGAGGACCCGTTTAGTCTACCGTATAGTGTAGCTACAGTCAATGGGATAAGGGAGGGGCCGTGCGTCTTTTTGGCAAAAAGGGAGGAATGATCGTCGGTTTCGCCTCTCTGGTAAAGTAGGGGACTGTGGGTGTGTGGAGTGGGTGGGCGACGGTGATCGAGCAAATGATCTAGCCGAGCTTAAAGACTGCTTCTACCGTTCTCGCCCTTTTTGGGACGAAATAAGCATGCCGTTAGAAATGAGGACCTTGTCGGTACATCAATATCGACCCGACGTGGTTGGGTGATGTAGCGGGTTCGGGTATCTCCACACAAGGGACCCCCAACTTCGTTGTAAACACTTTTATATAGCTAGTGCACGTGATTCCTTCTTATCGTACAGAACATCAGCTCCCCTGAACCTTGGGGAGCAGACAGAAATCAAGTACCATTTTTACCCAATGTTTTGCAGTTGCAAGAAGCTACGTGCGCTGCACGTTAGTGATACGAAGTTACGAACGTTCGCTACCGGCGATCCAACAGACCTCTTTGCTTGTTCCTTTTTCGAAAAATCCTTAATAAGCGTGATAAAAGCATTTCCTTAAGCTTTCTATTCTTAGTCGCTCTTTTTATATACTACCGGTACGTACGTAGTATGTGATTTAGCGATTACGATGGAAAACTCTACGCTGACGTAGTGCTACACGTTTGAAAAGATGGTTCAGCAACGAGATTAGCTTTAAGTTAAAGTGTTGCTATTCTACTACATTTCCGCAGGCTACAAGGCAGCGCATTGTCTATTACTGTACAGTATAATCTTTTGTCTGAAACGTCTTCGTTCGTTGAAACCTTTTTTCAAAGCTTATTATTCTAATACGATTCGAGGAAAACGCTTGGGCCGTCCTTCCCTCAACACCCTTTTATAAGGGCTTGTTTATTAAAGATGTCCGTTCATTAACATTAATGTCTGTCTGACGCCATACATACTTTTACGTAGCAGAAGACTGAGTTATCGCTTATCTGGTTTCAGCATTAAACGCTATTAAAAAAGAGAATCGTCGAGACTTAAAAGATGAAGGATCGCCTACTTAAGCAAGCCGACGATTAGCGCTATCCTCTTGATATTCATAATCTAAAAGTAATATTACTATTAGATTCGAGTAGAATAATAAACTCAGTGTCTAAATCCAGCGCTCTATTAGGCTTTATCGGTCATATACCCCCTTGCAAGAGGACTGGCTTGCGCAAGAAGATATTCCTCGAATAAGAAATCCTCGATAAAATCACTTAGGAGGTATCTTGCAAGCACTCTATTGGTCGTGGGCTCAATTAATGCAAAATCACTAATTAGATGTTCAAAATGTACAAAAGTTGAAACTTCAGGTATAATTCCGACGCGTTTGCTGTCGCATTAACACTGAGAACGTTAAAAGGGCGCGCTAAATCAGCCTCGGCACGATGTATTAGCGACATTTGTAGCGTCGAACAATATTAGTAAACGGACACATTTAATATACCAGCCCTGGAGTGTTGAGGGAAGGGCGGCCCAAGCGATCAAGTGGCCGCTGTTTCGAGATTTATTTTGTGAATCGATATCGACCCACGACGAATAGTGATACAGTTCTTTCGAGGACATAATAAAACCAATATCGATAAAAGCCTTGATTGTAGAACGTTTTATCGTACTTCGATAGCGGTCCGCAGCGTATCTATCGTAGAGATGTATCGACGTTAATTTCGAGCAGTAGAAAAAGTGCTATATATTATCTCGGCAATTGTCGGTCCGGGGCAGGTGTACGGAGCACGTGTACCTCGATCGTATCAACGTCATACTATGCTTAAAGGCAATACATTTTGCCAGATTATTTAAAAGTTCAAGACACGGCTCAAGTATCCGCAACCGCTCCCCGGCATTAAGTAAAGGATATCCATACCGAGGTGCAGCGGTTAAATGTTGCCTGAGTCAAAAGCAGGGTGTGGCGCTTGAACTTGACCTAATAAGGTACAAATGCAAATAGCCAGCTTGCGTTAAGTTTTACCGAAAATCACATTACTACTACGTACCTGACGGGGCAGCAGTTCACCGCTGTACCGCACGATTAGGTTACTATTCCTCTTCTTAAACAAATGTCGGTATAGCCATAGTGGCACAAGCTTAAAAATAGTAGTAAGAAAAATCTATTCGTATCACATCTAGATCCTGCCCTGTATTTAAGGAGGGGGATAGCAGCGCACTCAGCGTCGAATTACTCCACTTATTGTATGCAAGATCTCAATTCCCTATTGGTTACTCTCCCCTATCAAACTGATCCTTCTTTTGTAAAAGGCGGGTTTGAGAGTCAGGCCACGTTTAGCGCCTTTCGCACTGACAATCTGGCTTATAGAGTATTTGGATGAATCTGATCTAGTAAAAGAGGTTTTAGAGAGCTTTCAAACGAAGGGGACACGCCCGCTCTTGGATCCAATATTGACCAATAAAGAGGATTGATGTCTGCTGGACTTCCAGCTTGAGCCTAGAGCAGTGATTAGGCAATCGGAAGGGTGTATCTCAATGATCTGGAAGCTCTCAACAGCCATACAAACTACTTCTAAGATGGAAATCTGGTAGACCCTAAACAGCTTCAGCGAGCGAAATTACCTTCCTTAGCCTCTCCACCTCCGACTCTACGTACTAGTATATTACGAAACCACCGCCATGACTTTTGGAAAACCCGGTATCCTCGGCTGCGGCTTGGAACTCTATATTTGAACCCAAATCATCGGGTCTTTGGTCCGAGACATTCTCACATGCAGATCAGTGTGAAATTGTTGAAAGAATTTTTGATCGCACACTTTGTAGTTTTTGCATTTCTGAATCATGGCCGAGTCAAAGGCTCGCTCTAATGGAAAATAAGTGCAGCTTTTCGTTTGGTGAAAGTCTCTGTCTTGAAAATGATTTCGATGACATATCCAAGAATGAAACATTTCGCATATCGCGGCTGACCTTTCGACGATGTACCGCGTCCGCATTATGTATACGGATTTCTAATCGAAGCCTTTAGCTACGCATGCGAACACTTTTGGCGATGTATAAGCTCCACGGAATATATTCCATATTAAGATGGTTCTCGGCAGCTCAGCTTGGCTTTACGGAGTCCAAGTACACTGTACTCCTTACTGCATGGACGGACGTATCGGAAACTCAAAAATTCCTTGCTCATACTCAGTCTCGTAATACCGGTACCGGTACTTACTAAAACGTCACAGGCGTGAGTGTTACACCCTGAGGGTAGGGTAACCAGGGGGTTTAAAGTGGAGATTTAAACTTTTGAGGCACCCTCAGGCTGTAGCAGTTCGGGTGGGGGAGGGTGGGGGAGTGGTACTGTATATGTCGCTTTACTATTGCTCTTCGTTGTCTATCTTAATCTTCGTATATGTGATCGAGAGGGGAGCAGCAACGCAATCAAAGACAATTCCCTGTTTAGATGTCAAGCGCTGGCCAACCCGGCCCCTTGCTACTACTACATCTCGCCCACCCCAGCCCTTCCAAGCAAAAGCGTCAGCATCTCCGCATAATACTACTACAGTATACCGGTAACTACCACGATCCAGGCCTAGTTGTTACGTACAGCCTGTGGGTTCCTTCAAAGTCTAAATCTCCACTTTAAACCCCTTGGTACCCTACCCTCAGGGTGTAACACTTATGCCTGTGACGTTGTACAACAAGGAGTGCAACTATTATAAAGCGTCTTACTGTACGGGGACTGCCTATCTTCTCAAGCGAAAGATTTTAATCTTCGATGATCAGATTGCAAAAAAAGGGGTTTACAGTGGAGCTCTGAGGCTCTACTCCGTAACGTAGTTAAGCCCTCCTGAGAGCATAGGTAAATTTTTCGCCTGAGCTGGGGGGGAAAATTTCGATTGCACAGGCCAGGCACTAGACCCCACTCTTCGATCAAAGGCAGAACCTTACCCTTTGGTTTTAAAAAGCTGCTCTGATCACTTCAAGTGCTGTAGATAATTGGATTTAACATTGGCCTGTATACAGTAGCTAGCCTGCCAATATCCTAATTGTAATTGATCAGGAACCTCGCTTGCCCTAGCCGCCCGCTAGCGTTGTTAAAGCACCGAACTTCTACGTAGTACAACTAAGATGAAAGCTAGTTGGATACTGTTGTTTTACTTTGTGAGTACAACATTTGCAGCTATCTTATCGATCATACTTCAAAATACCACTACGCGAATTGATGAATCCGACGTATACGGAGTACAGACGTGAAGGCGTAGGCTTGTGCTCTGCAGCAGGGCTTTTACCCAATTGGACCCGGCTTCCGGAGAAAAGATAGTTGTGTGCCTTTTAGGCTCCAATAGGCGGGGAGTTCGTTATCAATAAGCATCACTGTTGAAGACCGCCTCCTATTATTGAATAGATGCCTCGCCTACTGTCCGAGGAAGGCAGGAGCGATTTCGGCCGCTACCATAATGCAACTACTCTAGTCGCATATCTTTTTCGTTTTATTTTTTTGCTCGGAGTGATTCCCCCGCCTTACCATTCCCAAGATCGGTAGATATGGCTGGTAGAGCTGGGCGAAATATGCATTTAAGGTTTTGGGGGAGGATAGCTAAGACGAGCACTAGTGAAGACGAGCTTCTTACGGTGCACGGAGTATGAATCATGACAGTGTGGCTAAATTCACATCCAAGCAAAATGTGAGTAGGTACCGTGAACCTTCAATCCGGCATGGATACCCCTCCTAGAGATCCAATCTTCCCCTATCGGCACCGATACGCCGATGAACACGGAGCGAGTATTCACAGCTGTCCCTCGCAGCCTGTACTCATGTCCTGAAAGTGTAGGCCAGTACATGCTCTTACGCATACGTAACAACGATGCAACTCGCCAGCAATGTCACTCTCAACTGAGCGTGAACTACGCTGCAGCAGCGTGCGATCCGAGATACAGGATTTGGCCATCCTAGATGAAGCCGACCCCCTCAAGCGTTTCTTTCCAGTCGACAAGATCCGCTCCTGTCTTACGCGCAACAAAGTCTCCTGGCTACTTAATTGCGCATGTTCCAAATGCAAGAAAGAATATGCTTTATTTCGCAGGAAGAAGCCGCCGACGGAGTTTCTCGACCGAATTGTTGGCTCCGAGGACGACCCAGAGTCCTCTTGCAACCCGTCCAAAACCGCATTCGCACTCCTCGCTCTTCTCATTTATGCTGAACATCCATTACTTATCACAGGATTTCTCATGCGAGATTTCTCCGATGCCTCTTTAGCTCCCCCAGCATCATTCTCCAAGCAGCAATTGCGAGCCTACTGTCCCGAATTCGCACTAGAAAACGAGAGAGACTTCAACAAGTTTGTCTCCGAATTTCTTCAACTCAGACCGCAATTCGCAATCCCAAGGATGGACTCGGCCATGTTTATTGCGTATGGGCCAGACACAATTTTGCCCTTCATAAGAGAGCAGAAGATCGGTGCCCGTGGCCCGAATGGGATCATACAGAAAATACCGAGCGGAGCCGGTGGCAGGATATACAAATTCGAGATATATGAAGAGTATTGCAACTTTCAGGTAGGAGGATGAATTTTCGTATCGAAGAATGACGCTAATCATTGCAGTCTCCAAATCATTATACCCAGTTCGCCAGGAAGGAGCTGGTAAATACCAGCGAGAGTGCTTTTCTCTCAGAGGTCGAAGCGCTCGATGTGGCGAACGCCCTCCAGGATGACCACATAGTGCGCAAGATCAAGGCGTACAAGCTTGGCGATACCTTCAATCTTATTTTCCCTCTTGCCAAAGCGAATCTGGACCAGTCCCTACGCGATCCTATACTCGAGTTCGACAGTTTGGTGCATGGACCTTTGGAATCACGACCTGCGTGGAAGCAAGTGTTGGGCATCGCAATTGCTCTTGGTAAACTCGGAGGGGCAAAAGGAAGCAACTCGCGACTGGGAACAAGCGGCCAGCACCAATTCTACGGAGGGCACTTTGATCTCAAACCGACAAACATATTGATCGATGATGACGACAATTGGATCATTTCAGACTATGGACAGGCAACTCTCAAACCTACGGGGCGAACCTCCTCCCGCGTCGTCAATCAGGGGGGCTCGGATGCATATGCGCCGCCGGAAATCGACAATCTCAATGCCCAATTCAGTCACCGCTACGACGTCTGGTCTCTCGGCTGTATTTTGTTGGAGGTTACGGCGTTCGTCATGCTAGGCTACGACGGACTGACTGGTTGTAAAGAATGGAAGGGTCTTGATCAGGTCCGGTGCACAGGATCAGCCTTCAACACAATCGAGGACAACCTATTCTACTCCCAAGAGTGGTATCACGGGGAATACACGTTGAAAAAAGGAATCGTCGACTTCATAAGCTTCCTGACCGGGCAAAGTCTTGTACACGAGCAGAAAACCCGGGTATTCCTGTCGAAAGTGCTGGATTTGATATTGCGCATGTTGGAACCAAAGGCGGAACGGCGAATCGATATCGAGGAGGTCATCAGCTGTTTGAGTTCTGCGATTGAGGAAGCGAGAAATGATGCTCAAGGCTGGGAGGTCGTTGCTGAGTCTGGAGAGCGGCCAATTGGCGAGCCCGAACTAAGCAAAATTCGGTACGTATCATGAATCCTGTCACTTTTGCGTTAGGAAACTCACTGCCAGCTAGTCTTTTGCACCGGAGGAAGAACATTTGGATGGAAGCATCTGTGCATGCGTTCGAAAGTTTGGATCGCAACCTACGCATTTACACCATTTCAAATAAGATGCCGATTGAGAGTCTTTGTAAGTACCCCCCTCGGAAATCCTAAATGCTGTACTGACATTATGCAAGTGGTTCGGTCACGGGTTCAGCTTGTTCCAAACTATGCATTTCGGACGGGCAGACGGAAGAAGTCATTTTCGAACGAAAGCGCCATTGCATTTTCTGATATCAGCCGAGAGGGGTGTCAAATTTATCCCGGCCTGTCTTTCTCCTTTCCTGCTTGCAAAGGTACATCAGAGTTCCCCGCTCATCCCGACACATAAAGACTGACTGATAAAAGACATGTTAACAATGCAAGCGAAATTTACTCAACACAAGATAGAGTCTAGGTGAGGGATGATATGGCTTGGGGCGCGACGGATCATCTTTACTGACCAATGCTAGTCTTGTTCTGGAGAATATCACCTATCGACGGCATCGAAGTCTCACTAACCGAATTTCATCAATGATTCATATCAACGATTCGAAAAACTATGAGTTCATCAATATGGGGCCAGGACTAGTACAGCTGTGGTCCGAAAACGTCAATGAGGCGCGACCTGTAAAAACCCCCGAAGTCTCAAGTCAAACTCGGCTAATCTCAAGTGTCAACAGCGGACTCGGCATCGGGAGGTGCCTCCACGGAGAATGGTGATCTTCATTCAAAAAACAAGAACCATGATGACCATTCCGCGTAAGATCTCCTTTCCCCATATCAGGATAACAACGCTAATGACCTCCACAGTGGGCCGCAACTGGCGCGAGACCGAGCAAAACGACGCCGAATCCAACACGCTCCAATTCAGCCCTGCCAACAAACCCCGCGACATCTCCTTCGCGGTGTCCACCATCCACACCTCCCGCCCCGAAGACCCCAACTCCTTCCCTGGAATCCCCCTCTGCCCTGAGATCCTCCGCGCCATGGAGTACCACAACCGCATCGAGTGCGACCTCGTCCAGCTGACCTTCCTCACCCCCGAGAAGCGGAAGAAGTTCGCCGAGGATTACCGCTACATGCGGAAGGGTTGGTACGACGAGACGGTCGCGATGGAGAAACAGTACGGCTACTATTACACGCCGCAGCCGCTCGCAGTCCTCCCTCCTGCCCCCAAGTCGAAGCAGCCGGACTTTTCCAGACCGGGCTCGTGGGCTCTTTTCAGGTCGGCTGCTATGAGTCCGCAGTTAAGGCCGTTGCCGAAGGAGGACCCGAAGTGGCGGCCTAGTCCGCATATGGGCGGTGGTCGTGGAGGATCACGGAAGACCGCGAAGAGTACGGTGCAGACTGCGTCTCCCCTTCCGTCGTCGAAGTCGTCTTTGAGAAGTAGTAGTAGAGGAAGCAGGGCACCTATGTCTGCTACGTCGGGCGGATCGAGCATGGATCGGTCACAGTGGACTTAATGATTCGATGATTTAGCACAGGATTGCCCAACATCACTTTCCATTCTCGAGTCTCTTACCACCAATCACGAAAAATTAAAATTACAATAAAAATAAAAATTAATTTTCGTCGTATCTGCCTGTCCCATGTTCGGCCATCCCGGCTTCCCAGAAGATCTAGCGCTAGACCACGAAGTCATGCAAATCCCCCATTGATTTCCCCGTATCTCCGTTTTCTGCAACGACCACCTTCAACCCCCCCCCCAATTCTTCAAGAGTTTCATGGTTTCCAGCGCTGAAATCGGTGTGACTTCACTTTGCATAGGAGGCTCCTGCGGGATTAGATTAGCTCCCCAGATTGGCCTATTCAAATTCCAGGTGACACTCGGTTAACGAGATGGTTCGTTTACGATGCTGCAGTCCATCACCGAAAAACCATTGCCGCAAACAAATATAAAACTTAAGAGCGGAGGGCTGCCACATGCGACCACAGATTCAAGAGAATTGGGCATCCCGTCCGCTCTGCCAGACACAAGCTTGAAATCGGTGGATTAGTAGTTGGGTGGGTGACCACCAGCGAATACCACTGTTGCATGTTCATTTTTTTTGGGGGGGGGAGGGGGGCGGGGTTGGGGGGGGTTCTCTTCCGTACTCAGGACCTCAAGACTCAATTACTTCAGTGGCTCACTTCGAAGCGGCATACCGAATTTTTGATAGTGAAAGGAGACACATTTGTATAATTTTTTTTTTATCCCTAGATGGCGAGCTGTTAAGATCGCCGGATAGGGGTTAGTCCCGCCATAGAAGCGATGCAGTACCACCGAATAGCAGCCGGGAAATTTTTTTTTAACGCTATAATACCCGACATGAGCGCGACAACCATCAATAAATCCCCAGCGGCTTTAGCTCACTTGGGAGAGCGCCAGACTGAAGCCTAACTTCAGGAAAGATATCTGGAGGCACTGTGTTCGATCCACAGAAGCCGCAACACCTGCGAGTCAGAGCCCACTCTGATTAACGAACACATTTTTTTTGCCGAATCGGTCCAGTATAAAAACAGAACTGGAAAAACGCTTCATTCAAAACGGCAATTTGATGCAAACAGGAAGGTGTAGTTATATATATATATATATATATATATATATTTTTTGTGGAGGTGACAGATTTTATAAGGAAATTATTCCTTCTACTGTATAGCATTGGAAGCCGCGTTGACAGTGCAAGTTTCTGACTCAACGGCTCGTGTGTGAGATTTCAATTGCCAAGGTATGAATGGTGGTGACTACCTACCTACTCGGACTTCAAATAGATCGTAGAAATGGCCCCCAAAAAGAGGGATAAGTTTGTGGCTGCAGGCAATGAATGACTCGCGTGCAGCTCCGTGGTCTCTCTGTTCATGGCACTGGCCAGTAGCAGATTGTGGTTTCTAAATATTATTTCTGGATGTTGTTGGAAGAAAAGAGTTGCCGTTCTCAGCCTCGCTTCAAGAGCCAATGAAGAGTCGTTCCTGACGTCAATAACGCATTGACGAGATAACGTGGCTTCTCGATAAACCTGCAAGGCATTGTAGTTGGCATTTCCTTTGTTCCGAAAGAAGAAAAAAAATCTACACGCTTCAATATCTTCAGATACCTACTGCAGTTTCGAGGATTTGTGACACTCGCGAGCTGAACTCTACTGTTCTCGCCAAGTAACCATTTCCAAGATTTTGCCCTGCACAAGAACCTCGGCTGAAGCTAGACCTTCCCGCACGTGGCGAATCAGCGCCTCTAACTCGTTACCACCACTCTTGTCAAAGTTCTGATAAATGTCTTTATCTTCGTTATTACTACCGACGACGATACCCCGAGTCAAATAAAATGTCAAGGTAGGAAGTCGTCCTTGCAGCTGGCCGGGAAGGCCTTCAGATTCGTGACTACGGCTGGTGATCGGTTATCACCAAACAACATCCCTCCCATCTTTGGGCCTACTCCGTAGATACAAGCCCCGTCGTCAACCATGGTGCCCCCCTCCGGGAAGTCCTCCACTTCTGGGGCTGGAGAAAAACTCAGCCATGAAGCCGAGAAGAACATCACAGAATCGGAACTCGAAATCGGGACCACCCTTCCAGAGAAAACCACTTCCGAAACGGATTTTCCACGACGTGCCGGAGCGACGTACTCTTCAGTGGAGCCTCGTTCCAAAGGCCCCCTAACGCAAAGGATGAGAGCTCTTTTCGCAAGAGACGGACCATTACGACCGTTTAGACTCCTGAAGCAAGATATACGCAATATCAGGAAACGATACATCTCAGACTGGACGCTTTTTAACCAGCTCGTGTTTGCTAGCGCGATCTATGTCTTTTTCACGAATCTATTGCCGGGCATCACGTTCGCGAGTGATCTGTATGTGAGGACTGGGACGAATTGGGGGACGATTGAAGTTGTGTTCAGTACTGGGCTGTGTGGGATTATTTTCTCGCTGTGAGTTCCGATTTTTGTGCTTGGTTGAACTCGCTTGGCTTACCGATGTGATGTAGATTTTCCATCCAGCCCCTGACGATCCTTGGAGTGACTGGACCATTCGCAGTATTGGCTGAGAACATATACGAACTATGTGAGACTTCGTTCCACGTAAGCCGCCCATGTCCTTGTTGGAATAGCCGAACCGAACTGATGATATCCCAGGTCGATTTCCTCTCCATGATGGCCTGGTCACTCATCCATGCCGGCTGGATGCACTCTCTCCTGGCAATCTTCAACGCCCACGACTGGACGATGAAATACGTGACCACATTTAGCGCAGACATCTTCTCTCTCCTCAACAGTGTCATCTACTTCCACAAAGCGGTCCAGGAGCTCCAGCGCAACCACGATACCGTCTCTTTCGCCTCCTTCTTGTACTCTGTCATTGGCGCCGTCGGGACCTTCCTCCTCGCCGTCTTCCTGTCTACAGCTAACTCTTGGAAACCGCTCTTTCATCGCTACATCCGCATGGGTCTTGCCGAATACGCCGCCGCCATCTCCATCATCATCTTCATCGGCATGCCGCAAATCGGCGAACTCGACACCTTGGACAAAGCCACCCTCGTCGTGCAGACCTCCTTCCGGCCCTCCGACCCTGCCCGCTCCACATTCTTCGTGCACTTCTGGAAGCTCCCCGTGCCCTGGATCTTCGCATCCATCCTCCCCGGCGCCATCATCACCCTGCTGTTCTACTTCGACCACGAGATCTCGTCCATCATCTGCACCCTCCCCCGCTACGGCACCAAGAAGCCCGGCGGTTTCGCGTGGGATATCATGTTACTGGGCACTACTACCGCTCTCTGTGGGGTCTTGGGTATTCCTCCAGCCAACGGTCTGTTGCCGCAAGCCCCGCTCCACGCCGAGTCCCTGCTGCATACCATCACCTCCCCCAACCCTAGCACGAGCCTCAACCCGGCGACGGGGGAGAACGAAATCTCCTTCGAGGAGAAGAAAGAAGTCTACGAGCAGCGCTGGTCCCCATTTATGCAAGCCGCCGGCATCCTCGTCTTCGTGTCCCCGCCCTTCCAGCACGTGCTGGGCCTCACCCCGACCTCGGTGCTTGCGGGCCTGTTCCTGTTCATGGGCGAGCAATCGCTGGCTGTGAACCCGATCTTGTACCGCATCTTCTACATGCTGACCCCACCCTCGGAACTGCCCCCACTCCCACCAGGGGTGAGGAACTACTGGGGGGTGCACGGCTTCACCGCCGTGCAGATCATCATGACCGGCATCATTTTCTACGTGACGCTGACGGTCGCCGCGCCAGCCTTTCCAGGTACGTCTTGCCCATGGCTTGAACTCACCCTCTCCTCTCTTCTCCTCCTCTCCTTCCCCCGCGGCAAAGCAAACCATGCCCAGACTCGCCGTCTTGTCCTTGCTTGAATCGGGGTTGTGTCTGCAGTCTATTATTAGCTAGCAAGACCCCCCTCTCCCCCAAAAGGAAAGTGCTGATGACGATGCGTTGCACCCATGGCTAACCTCTTCCCCCCTCTTCACCCAAAAAAAGTCATCATCATCGCCCTAGTCCCTACCCGCCTCCTCCTCATGAACAAGATCTGGAGCCGCGACACCCTCCGCCTCGTCGACGCCTGGGCCTGCAGAGACGGCACCCCCGAGGACGAGGAGGACGAGCAGGAGGCGACACCAACACCATCGTCATCACCATCACCCCTAGCAGCAGTGGCAGAAACCCCCGCCGCCGAGAAAAGAGGAAAGGGAAGGAGCAGCGGGGGCGTGGTGCTGATGGGTCATGATGTTGATGGCGCCCTCGTTTGAACTTTAGTCATTGGTTGATCTCGATATCCGCATTGGATGTGAGAGAAATGAAAACCCTCTTCTCTGTCTCGAACTTGAAACTATAGTCCAGCAAGCAAGCAAGCAAGCAAGGTTTTAAAAAAAACACCCCTTTTCACTACCATACACACCACCACAACCCACCACAACCCACCACAGCAATACCGGTCGGTACCAGACGTGTATCAACACAACACAACACAACACAACACAACACAACACAACAACAGCAAGGAACCAAACCCCTCAAGGGCAAGATACGAGACTCCTTCTCACCGTCCATCCATCAAACCAATCCCAATCCCAATCCCAATTCCCTGTGCTACCGTACCGACAAAACCCATCCCAGATCCCAGATCCCAGATCCAAGATCCAAAGAATGATAAGAGGTCACTTACCAACAAGCGACCTCAGGTTACAAATCATCTTTCTTTCATAGCTTAGCTTAGCTCCGGGGCTTTCAAGTCCACCGAGAGAGACAGAGGGTGGAGGGGGGGGGTTTTCCTTTTTTTTAAAAAAAAAAAGAAAAAAGAAAAAAAAAAATATAGAATGCCTGCTTGCCTGCCCGCCTGCTCTCCCTCTCGCTTCACCACGCAAGACCCAAAAACTCCCAAATAAAAAGCAGACAGACAGACAGACATCCGCAAATCGTTAATAAACCATTGATACTTGGCAAGAATCGTCGAAACACTCACTCCTCACGCTTGTAAAAAGCGCCCCCCCCCCCGCAAGAATAAAATTGGGTATTGATCGATCAGTATTAATAATCTATCTATCTACCCACCACAACTCAGTGCGCTATGCAAACCAGCCTCCCTCCCCGTCCCACTCATGCAAAAGGTGTGTCCGTCCAGAAGCGCTTTTCGTTCATTCGGTATGCAAACCACCCAGAAAAACAAGAGAAGAGAGGCGGAGAAAAAACCCGGCGCAATGAATGCTTGCTCAGATTCCTGGAATCCATGATGCATATCAACCACCACCCCATGCGAGAAATCAGATTTGGAAATGCGTCGCAGAAGGTTGAGAGGCCAGACATGTTCCTGACCACGAAATAGTAGATAGAGCTTCTAATCCTCTCTCAAATCACCATACTCCCAAAGACCGCGACGGTCAGCAATAGCCTGTTCCTCCTTCTCGCGCAAACTCTTCAGTACGTCACCAAATCCACGCTCCCAAGCCTTCAGCTTGCGCGGAACCATGGCGTGGCCATCGGCAACGATATCAGCGTTGATGCTGTCAGTCAGATTCTTGCTGTTTGTATCGTAAAGCGTAACATACAGCGTACCCTCGGGCGCAGTGTAGTCAACGTTAGCAACCAGTTGAGCATCAGCAGTCACGTCGGTGATGTAGTTAATGGCGTCAGAAAGGTAGTCCGTGTTCGTAGGGAACTGCAGGAGTGAGAGGACAGCGTCGACGGCTTGAGGACGGAGTTTCTGGGTCGAAAACTGGGGTTGGGAGAGAGGGCGCAGACGAGACCATGGGATCTTCTCGCTATTGCCGTAGTCGACGTAGACAACTTCTGCCTCCTTTGCGGCGCGGTCGTTGGAGCGTATACGAGCACGGTACCAGGCGCCGTCTGCGGTGAACTTTGCTGCAACGAAGTCGCCTGCCTTGGGAGGACCGGTAAGGCCGGCACTGTTGGAGGGGTTCATGTGGAATGACTTGAATTGTGTCATCATGATTTCGAGAGCAGACGTGCCGGTACCAATGATTTGAAGCTTGAGCTTGCCGGACTCGTCGATGTGGGTAACCATTACATCACGGTAATCCTTCTCGCGTGGGATAACAGTCTCACCGCTAGTGCCGTTTGCAGGAGCATCTTCCTCTTCATCGATATCATCAGCAGGGCTCCAATTAGCCCAGAGGTTCTTTCGTGCCTCCTTGGCGCGTTGTTGTGCGGCGAAAAGCTCAGTTGCATTGCCAGCTTGCTCGGCAGAGTAGGCATGCACAGTAGCGAGACCTTCCTCGACGAGAATTTTGGCGAACGATTCCTTATTGATGTAAAGTTCTCCAATAAATCCACCGACCTTGTCGACATTGTGAACATCAATCTCAACATCGCGTTGGGTCAGTCGCTTTGATGCAAGATCATGTGCCTCTTGACCAAATGGCTCGGCCTTATCATTTGGACCTCGTGCAGACTTTGGTGCTCGGATACCACCAAGGACAAAGTTCAGCTTGATGTTCTCCCGGGGAACCAGAACAACAAATCTCGAGCCACCTTTGACAAAATCAACGATTGCTGGGACTTTCTTTTGACGTTGAAGTCCAGAAACTTGTAACTTCGCCTTTTGCAGAGTCTCAGATGCATCAACGTATGTTTTCGCCTTGGACGGCTTTCCAGACCACATTCCCTTCTTCTCCTCCTTGGCCTTTTCTTGCGCAGCCAAGAGCTCATCATAGTTTGGGGCACGATCCGTATCGTCTCTGCGATGGCGGATGACCGAAGCCCAACCCTCTTGTACAAGAATCAATCCGATATTCTTGTCGTTGTATGTAATCGTGGCTACCTCCTTTGCATCGTATTCATCAGTAGCAGGTCTTGTTCCATCAATACTCAGGCGCACATGCTTTCCGATGATCTTCTTTCGCAGGAACTCCTTGGCCTCATCTCTGAAAGGAGATTCCGCAGCATCAGTTGGACGTGGACCACGGATACTCGAAAGATTGATTCGCTTTTCGACACCAGCTCTATTCCGGACAAAGATAACATCCGGGCTGAAAATGCGTGTGACTTGAGCCTCCAAGGTCCCTCCTGGAGCGGCAGCCTTTGAAACGTGATCGCGGAAGAGACCGCGCTTGTTTAATTGAGCCACCTTCTCGGCGTCTCGAAGTACTGCCATATCTGCGCCCAGAAGGGTCGAATGGAAGTCAGTACATCTAGCAAGACCAGCCTCCAGAAGGAATTTTGCAATTGTGCCGTTCTTAGGATGCTTGACCGATGCGATCAGTTGGTTTTGAGGACTCAGGCCAAGGATATCGAGTTTTACGTTTCGCTGCAATAATCGTTCCTCGATGTACATTCGGGCCTCGTTTCCAAATTCCTCTGCCGTTTGTTTTTGACCGTTCGAAGGATTCACACGCTCGGTGATGGGAGCACGGATGCCAGCGACCAAAGTCATAACTATGAACGTTCAGCAATATCCAGAAAACAAGGGAGCAAGGGATGGGCTCACTATTAACATGCTTCGTTGGCGACATGATAACGCGAATGAGCATACGGTCACCGCTCAGCACGCGCTCAACCAAACCATCGAGCGTCTGGCCCTTGTACTTGTCCAACCATGCTGGAGCGTTACCCATGTCGTGCTGCACTTCAATGCGACCAATGCTTGGGTGCCAGAGGCCAAGATCATCAGATCGAGCTTTAGCCTCCAGAAGACGCAGTTGATCCAATTGTTGGAGAGCCTCTTCGGAGTCCTCCTTGCGACCAGCATCCTCTCTCAGCTTGAGCCAGCCCAGCTTGATCATTTCCTCAGGAAGCTTGCGGCCATCGTTCAGGTATACGACTCCATATTCACGCTTCGTGTTGGGGATCGTGTAGAGTACCGAGAACTGCACAGTCTTACCAACCAGCAGCTCCCGCAATGCGTCGCGCGATTCGTATGCCCCTATCTCGTCTCCATCCTTCTTCAGATGCGGTGCCGTACAGTATGCCAGAGAGAGGGTTCGCTCGCGGTCAGGGTGTGCGATTGAGGACAAGATGAGGCTGTCGCCGCTCAAAACGGACTTGACTTTGGCTTGGTTGAGAACCATGTTGTCGTAACGCGCGGGGGGTACGTTTGGTGGGAGCTTCTTTCCAAGAGGAGGGGCTTTTGGCGCAGGGAGAGGCTGAAGATCGGAGTTGAAAGCTGGAAAGGGGGCCGGCAAGGCAGCTGGAAATGGTTCAATGATGTCAGCAGGTGTATTTGACTTTGATGAGCTCTTCGAGTTCTTCGAAGCCTTGGAAGATTTCGAGGCCTTGGATTCTGCAGAAGATTTCCGACTGTTGTTGCAAGCCCAGCCGATCTTGATTGGGCGATAGTTGCTCATTTTGATTTGTGTCCGCTGTACTCGAGAGCAAGAGCGAGTGTGGTGAAGCTGGTGGAGAGAAGGTTGTTGAGATCTGGGGAAATACAAAAAGTTGAGAGCTTCCGTTTGCTGAAGTACTTCCAGAAGATCGCAGCCTCGCCAATCGAGTGAACTCATTCAGGTCTGCGATTTCTTTCTTTCGTAGAGTGAATTGAGAAACAACCGTGGCTGGAACGGAGGATGCCTGAGCATTTGGGGTGGTGAATCGGCAGCTCTAGGCAAGATTTCTTTGCTGGTAGGCAGACGGGCTGCAGCGTCCGCGCAGGTTGAATCGAAAGATTCACATCAGGCTCGAAGTGACTCAAGTGACCCAGGTGACCCAGGTAGCCGCCGATTGATTATTCTCAGGAATATGGCCCATTCTCTTCCCTCTCCAGAGGACTGCGACATTGCACGGATTGCGGCAGGACAAGCTGCCAGACGGTAAGGAAACATTATTCACTTACAGAGAATTCCAGTCGACACAGGCAAAGTTCAATCACCCTCGGAGTCGGCAAGGTAGTGAAAAATGTGTATCTGTCTGGTATATAGAGATTGTGAATGGCAATAGGGGTTGATGCAGAAGACAGATTCTCGGTAATCCACATCTACGAAATAATTGAAAGCTCCTGCTCGTGTGCCCCCCCCTGCCGACGCCCGATGTTCGACCCCACCACCCACCATGCTGTATTAGGCAACGTGGATTGGTTATATAGCGGCGAGCGGTTTCGGTTAAAGGGGCGGGTGAACCAGGGTTTTATCCGTTCGTCATAAATACTACGTACCTACTTGTGCTGTCTGTCTAAATGGCTTATATGACTAGACATGTCGATATAGATATACCGGTACCTCCGTAGAATAGAATGGTACCGGCATAGAGAAACGTTGAAGTTCACTAGTTGTTAGTTCCGAGCGCTGAGAATTCAATAGCCAGCTGGATCACTTGGTTGGGATGGGTTAGGAGAGGAATTCCATAAGAATCCCAAATACTAGGAAGTATCAAGCTTCAAAACACAAGGGGACAAACACCATATCCATGCAAAGAGTCTTGGACGAAAAATGATATCCTGAAATTGAGTGCGCGAATCCCACATGCCTAAGAGGGAAAAGGCATAGCCTCTGCTAATCATGGCATTTAAAGGGACAAAATCAGCGTCCAGCGAATCTGGCTGGCTGGCTGGCAGACCATCTTCTCATATCCGCACAGAATCCACGGTTCATCATATATTTACGCAGCAATGCCAATGACACCTGAATAAGCAGTACTGTCAGTGATTGTCGTCAAGCGATGGACCAGGAAACATACCGCAAGCAGGTCGAGTACCAGCGTTACCAGTCTTCTTGGATTCCTCGTTTCCTCCCTGGCCGAGATCATCGGTTCCGGAGTGGACGACAACAGTTCGCTATCCCACGTTAGCTCTGATCCTAATGTAGTATTCATGCTGAGCACTTACTCCGATAACGCTCTCAGGACCGATCAACTTGATGAGCTTGTCCGTAGTAGAGCCCTTGCCGTTGCCCTGGGCATCGGTCTTGAAATTTCCCAAATCACCTACGTGGCGAGTCTCATCGGAAGGGGCACCGTGAGTCTTGCCGTAAGGGTTGACTATGGTAAAAAAGCTCCATCAGCCCTGCTGTTCTTCCAGATATGCTTTGGTAGGTGTGTGGCACTCACAGTGAGGACCAGCGGATGTGCAACCGTTGGTGTTGTCTCCAAATTGATGGATATGCATGCCACGCTCGGCGTTGGCATCGTTGCCAGTAATGTCCCAGGTGATGGTGGTGGGAGAGGACTCGGATGCCTGCTCGAAGGTTACGGTTCCGGAGACCTTGGAGTCGCCTCGAACGGTTGCAACTGCAGGTGGATGGTCAGCAAAAGTCTTGATGCAGCCATCAGAATCTTGTCATTCCACTCGGGAGCTTTGGACAGTGGCCATCTGGGGTTGAAAATTGCCCGGAGGTCAGAATCCTGCTCATATTGTCTCTAGCGACCCCGCCACTATATATTGGCAGGGATAGGGAGACGCAAGGTATATATATAATATAATATAGGTAGACGCAAGACGCATAACAAGACATACCTGCTTTGACCATTTGGACTGATTGATCGGGTTTCCAATGATTTCAATTTTGGGGTTGATTGAGGTTTCTGGAATGGAAGTGTTAGCTGTGGAAGTGGAAGTGGAAGAATGGAGGAGATGTTGAAGTGGTGTCAAGTGGGGTAAGCTGTGACGACTGTTCAATCAGCTTACATTACAGTGCATTACTCCGGACTCCGTACAAAACCAAGCAACCTGCCCCTCAACTTGTCACGTGTTGTCCATACGGCATCATTCTGGTCGATCCGGGATAAACCTGGCCTGTCGGATGTCGGGGCTTTATAGAATGTACTGGTACATACGAAGTTCATTTCTCATCGACAAGCTCCGATGGTCCGTATGATTTTTCATATCTTCACTCTGGGCACATTTTTAAAGCGTTCTTCATTTGCCAAGACCAAGGATCCAACAGAACAACGTTGTTACCTATAGCTGGAGGGATTTTTCTTCTTTTGGATCTAAAATCTTCATTCAGAGCGAGTGCCTGGGTAAGTAAAGAAGTTCTGAAAATCTATACTTAATGTCTTGCGCTGGACGCCAGGTTTTAGGAAGTATCCCGTTCTTACCTTATCCATCGTCTGCAGGCTTGTTACTGGAATCGGCTTCTAACATATTGTGTTGTTTTAACGATGATCTCTATGCCTGTCGATGGCTTCTCCGCTTGAGATAATTACTCTGAAAATCGAAATATGTTTTTTTTTTCTTCTTTTTTTCAATTCTGATGAAATCCGAAGCCAGCGATGAATGTCCGAGTCCGTACGTACATATGCACTTGCCTGCTCTGAAAGTCGGTGGTCAACAGGCCCCGGGTTAAGCGAGACGTCGGAACGGGGCATTTATATAGTATTTGGAAGCATTCTGATAGCGTCTTGATGTTTTCCTCGAGAGATGTGTTATCTGAGGCGCATTTGATGCGTGCAAGATGTCTGTGACATTTTTTATACCTATTTATATGTATCCTATCAGACACTCCACATATTTTATATCCGAGTTTCTAATTTATTTTGATTTTTTATCTCTAGTTTTCTTTGCGGGACTACCACACGCGTCGGGACCTCATGTCGCGAACCTCATTATTCATAACTCGGGGCTACCTACGATTCGAGCCATCTTTGAAGGAATGGCGGCCAACCGATGCAAGGTTGAAAGGAGGCGGCTCCGTCCGCACCTTGCGATGCGCGCTTGTCTAGTCGTGACGTTTGGGTCTCATCCGCCACCGTCTTTGCGCCCTTGCTTCGCGCCGCTCCGCAGACAACAAACATAATTGAGTATGCGTGCAAGTGATACCCCATCGGATTAGGAAACCGCTCAGGATTCGAGATGTCTGAGGCGCGACTCTGGTGGGGAGGGGCTGGGGTCGAGACGTTGACCGGCTCATATTTTCTCTTGCAGTTGCATTCCTTTCATAGACTTCTCCAACCCACTCCTTGCGGTCCCTTGAGACAAAATCGCTAACTGTACCGAAGACCTCAGAAGCTGCACGACGCGATCAGCGAGGAATGGGATTTCTAAGTCTCAATGTTATATGGGAAGCCTGGTGGGTTTTCGGGTACACTTGCTGATCGTTTCCAAATCTTCGGTGATACGCATTCCGATGTCTTAATTGCGTGTTGATTTTGCATTCCCTTGGTGCTTTAGCGAATATAGCAGAATATTATGTTACCTCTTCCCCTTCTCACTTTTGGACTTGACCCTCAGTGCTTCACTTTGTTCTGCGCATCAAAGCTTCTCCGAGAGAGAGAAGAACACGCTCTTTGGTTACATACAACTTTCCCTAAACAACACTCATTTGATCGTTCACTATACATCGACAACGAATTTGCAGCGCCACTAGTCGAACCTTGCTGTCAGCAGACAGCGGAAGGTTGCGAGTATGCAGAACCCGAAGGTGTTTCTGTACGCTTGCTTCCTCGTTTTAATATCACTGGTGCATCTCTCCGATGGACAAGGCGGTGAGTTTCATGATTTCCGCGTCATAAAGCTCCAGGCTCTTACATTTCTCACTTTGATTCCATGCCCCTGCTTGACGGTCTTGAAACCCTGAGTCATCTAACACTTCATCAGTATCTTGGGCTATTCCAACGTCACTGCCTTACCTAAACCCCGGAGATAGTTACTACCAGTTCTTTGGTTCATTCACTGATGCTAATATCAATCTCGTCAACGTCTTTGTGGATGGGGTTTACTACGGTTACAACTACGACGTGGGTCAATGTCTGCAAAATTGTGCCGGTCTGTTCGGGGGCGACGTACCCCTCTCCCCTCTACAATTTGCTGCCATATCTAATGGAGGGTAAGATGTACGCATCCTGTGTATATTTCCCTGTACTGAGATCTTGGTTTCACAGTCTTTGCCAGTGTGGTGCTTCGCTAGCACCTCCATTCGGGACGGATCATGTCAGACAGTTCGACAATGTAGCAGCAACAGGTGCAGGATCTGCTTGTAATATCAACCCGAACGAGTATTGCGGTGCTCCAGGATATACTCTAGTCTACAGTCTGCGGTCAGCGAATTTGTTTCCAGGATCTATCTCGAATCCTTGGATCAACCCTGGAAACGGCCAGTGGGGTTATGCTGGGACTTTTAGTGACCCCGAAGCCAACTCCGTTTTCCAGATCAGAAGTGATGATTCGTCCGATCCGATAGTTTTGAGAAATTTCGTCGACGTCGCTACCTGTCTTGATTTCTGTAGTTTGAACGGTCGCAATCTTGCAGACGCGCCCACGGCCGGGACATCTACGACTTGGCAATATGCGGGTCTCATCAACGGAGGGTTCGTCTTTTTCACCATGATAAAGCCCCCGCAGCTAATTATGTGTATAGAGGATGTGTCTGTGGTAATGGGCTTGAGGTGGGCGCTACCTTGGTGGCAAACAGCCTGGCTTCCAGCCCTTGTAACGAAAATGCCTTCGAGTTCTGTGGTGGCCCCCAGTACATGCAGGTGTACTCGAATAGGGCTTACCCGGCTGCTGCCACTTCGTCCACGAGTGTGCTTGGTGAGTGTCCCCGTCCCCCCTGACAGAAATATTTCTTGTCGATACTAACTGTGGTTCAGGTACCTCCACTTTACGCAGCACGATTGCCACAAGTAAGACCTCCTAGGAACATCGTTAAATTGCCTTGCTGACAGTCAACTCTCAGCAGCTTCTAGTACACGTGGAATCTGTGAGTGAACTCAACCCCAATGATAGCGCTTAGCGCTTTGAAGTCTGGCATCCTACTTGGACTGGATGACAAAGAACCGAACCCTCGTTCTATTTAGTCCACAGAAAGAGTCTGACATTACGTTCTTTCAGCGACGAGCCTCGTGCCGACCACCACTAGAGCATCGACGCTACAATCTACCGGTATGTTCTTGGTACTGATCAGCATCACGATGCTTCGGTCTTTCCTGAATTCTACCCAGAACCCTGCCGGCATATATTTCATCTGCTAATTTTGCAGGCATCTCTACGCGGATTACGACCTCTGCTAGCAGCAGAATTCTGACGTCTACGACATCTGGTAAGTCTAGCGTGTTAAGGATTTTATTTGAATCTTATCTAGAACCTCGCTAGCATATATTTTAATTGCTAATTTCGCAGTCAACTCTACGCGGATTACGACCTCTGCTAGCAGCAGAATTCTAACGTCTACGACACCTGGTAAGTCTAGCGTGTCGAGGATTTTATTTGAACTTACCCACAGCTCCGCTATCATATATTTCAATTGCTAATTTTATAGGCATCTCTACGCGGATTACGACCTCTGCTAGCAGCAGAATTCTGACGTCTACGATACTTGGTAAGTCTAGCGTATCGAGGATTTTATTCGAACTCACCCAGAGCCCCGCTATCATATACTTCAATTGCTAATTTTATAGGCATCTCTACGCCGATTACGACCTCTGCTAGCAGCAGAATTCTAACGTCTACGACACTTGGTAAGTCTAGCGTATCGAGGATTTTATTTGAACTCACCCAGAGCCCCTCTATTATATATTTCAATTGCTAACTTTATAGGCATCTCTTCGCCAATTACAACCTCTGCTAGTAGCAGCATTCTGACGTCCACGACACCTGGTAAGTCTGGCGTGTCGAGGATATTATCAGTGACTGATCTGCTCCAGCTCTATCAACATCAACAACTATATCAATATGGTCGCCCCCAACTGCCTTCCCCGCGTTCAACCCGGGAAACAATATTTACGAATTAGACGGAACATACAGTGATCCGTCCCAGACATTGGGGTCAGCTAGGATCGTTTTAGGAGCCAACTTTGATGTTGATCAGTGCTTGTATGAATGTCTGAATTATGCCGAGGCCTCAGAGACAATCAATCCAGCTCCTTACGCTCTTTTGAGTGCAACCGGGTAAGTCCTTTGCTAAGTGGAGAGACTTGAGAAACCTTGCTGAATTTTCAGGATCTGTACATGTGCCTCTGCAATTCCAGCTTCAGATGGAGTAACAGGGATCAAGCAGTTGGACAACGTTGCAGCAACGATATCGGGGCCCTGTTTGATCAACCCGTACGAATATTGTGGATCCGCCGGATTCACGCTTGTTTACAGAGTCCGGACAACTTTCTTGACTTCCGGCTCTATATCCACTCCCTACATCGTTCCCGGAAACGGCCAATGGAGTTACGACGGACTTTACAGTGACCCTTTGAGAATAAGTCCGTTTGTGACCCGGCAAGATGGCTTGGCAACAACACTTGTCGTGCGCACGCAAGTGGACATTGGTAGTTGTTTGGCCAGTTGTGGACTGAATGGTCATCTTCTGGGTGATGTCTATGGCCAGAGTACCGACTTTCAATATGCTGGTATCACAAGCGGAGGGTACGTTAGAGCAAGTGGCGTTGAAGAAGGGCGCTAATGATATATCGTCAGGGCGTGTATATGTGGTTCTGGGCTCCAGCCCTCTGCACAAAGGGTAGCTGACAGCCTGGCAACCGTACCCTGTACCGGCAACAGTTATGAGTTGTGTGGTGGCGTGGCCCAGATGCAGGTGTATTCAAACAGGGCTTATGCGGCGATATTGTCGTCGAGGATATCAAGTAAGTGTCCTCTGATCGAGACACAATGTTAATACTGATGTTACCAAGCTATTCCGGCATCCTGTAAGAATTCTGCCGGTTCACTCATGCTTCCCAGAATACATAGCCCAAATCCCCTTCATCATCTCTCCCCCTCCCCTCGCGAAAACTGTTACTAATGTTTGATTCCCCGCAGCTTCTAGCGCATCCGTCACTGGTAAGTAAACCCAAGTCCCCAGAGATGACAGCTTTAGTCCCCAATGTTGGAATTTTCCCCTCAATCTATTTCCAAGACAGGCTGACAATTCTTCCTTGTAGCCTCGACAGCCGTCCCGACGCCGTCGAGTTCATCAAACATACTACTGCCCAGAGGTATGAATTGAGGATCGACAATACTTCGAACTCTTTTTCACCAACCCCTTTCCAAAAGCTTCCTACCATCTTCTGACTATTTAGACACATCTACAGCCAGTACGATCCTCTCTACGAGTGGTGGCAGCTCCTCTTCTAGTACTTCCAGTGCGTATTTCATATTCCACTATGATTCAACAAACTTTTGTTTTTCCAGACGCCCTTCTGTTTCTCCGGGCTCGAGCTTTCGAGCCATCTAACGCGTTATAGCACTATCTTCGTCAACCTTGCTGCCAGCCACCTCCAGCGCATCGGCGCTTCAATCTAGCTCGACCCTACTGGCCCAGATTTCGAGCACAGGCCTCTCTTCAACAGGAGCTCTTACGAGCTCTATATTGTCGTCCTTGAACCCGTCCTCTACCGAAACTCTCACGAGCTCCATATTGTCGTCTTTGAGCCCGTCCTCGACAGGAGTCTTTGAGAGCTCTACGTTGTCATCCTCGACCATACTAGCCCCTACCTCCAGTTCATCTTCGATTCTTTCAGTCCTTGTCAGCTCGAGTCTAGGATTGTCATCTTCAGCAGGAGGAGCTCTTACGA